TTGAGACGGAGTTTCACTCTTGTTACCCAGGCTGGAGTGCAATGGCGTGATCTCGGCTCATCGCAACCTCCACCTCCTGGGTTCAGGCAATTCTCCTGCCTCAATCTCCTGAGTAGCTGGGATTACAGGCACGCGCCACCATGCCCAGCTAATGTTTTTGTATTTTTAGTAGAGACGGGGTTTCACCATGTTGACCAGGATGGTCTCGATCTCTTGACCTCGTGATCCACCCGCCTTGGCCTCCCAAAGTGCTGGGATTACAGGCTTGAGCCACCGCGCCCAGCCTCACTCCATGTTTTATCTCAATCTCTTTCTCATGTTCTCTCTCTCTTTGTGCTGTGTTCTGGGTAATTTCCCCATACCTTTCAGTTAACAGATCTCTTTTCAGCTCTCTGATCTGTTTGTGAATTCATCTATTGACATTTTTATTTCAATAACTATATTTTCTATTCTAGACACTGTACTTTTAAAAAGTCTGTCTATTCTGCCCTCATAGTATCTTATTCTTTTCTCAGGAGTCTTATGTCTGTGATCATTTAAAATATATTATTATTTTCAGACAGATCTATTATTGCATATTCTCAGGATTCTAATCCATTTGTGGCATTTTTGTTGATTCTTGATTCCTAGTAATGGTTTTTTGTTTTCTTTTTTTAATCAGGTGTTTTGTAGTTTCTAATTGTTAGTTCATTTTTGACAAGGTTTTCCCCCTCCCCACTGTGAGAATCTTTTCATGCCTTGATCGTGATTTTGCATTTGGTTCTATCAGGAGTCCAAGGATAACAGCAGAATATCAACAGACTGGGATCAATTTTTATGGTAATTCCCAGAGATGAAGGTTTCTGGGCTGCATCAAGGTTTCTGGGCTGCAGGTAATAATAATTCAAACTCCAATCTGTACAAAGGGCAGGCTCAAGGTTTCTGTTTCTCAAGGAAGACTTCTCCCCCCACTCAAAGCTCAGGCAGAGATGAACATGTTTCCTTATTTCTCTGTGTTGGTAATAAGAATGGTATGTGTCTTTGTCCGTCTTTTCCCTAAGTGGGTAGTCTTTCCAGGGTGCTAGCTTTATACAGGGTTTTCAGTTCTAAATTCCCACTTTGCTTAGGATCGAGGCCTTATTTCTTGACTTGAGAGTGCATGAAAATCCATGCTCTAGTTTCCTGAGACAATGCCTTGTGGACCATTCCCGCTCATACTTTGTAGCTTATGTGATCACTGCCCCGTTTTTCATTTCTGGCGCCTGTGTGTTTCCATTTCTTTTTTGCCAGCTCATTCATTCAGTTAAAGTTAAATACTGGTTGCATTTCCCCTGATATTTTTAGGTAAGCACAGCAGGAAGATTTTCAGGGTTCATTGGTTTTACATCTTGCTGGAACTAAAAATGTCTTCTCAGCCTCCTTGTTGAGGAACTTGTCCTCTGCCTGTCCTTTTACCTTGTCTTCTGCTTGTCCCTTTTCTGAGAGTCCTTATTTGGCCCTCTTGTCCTTTCTTCCTGTATTGGAGGTCCTCATTTACCTCATCAAGACCTATAGATCCCTGGACCCTAACAGTTTTTAACAAGGAGGCAGGACAAAATATACTCATAAAGCTAAGTTTGAATCTTTTTTCTGCTACTTACCTGCTGAGTGACCTGGGGGCAAGTTACTTGGCCATTCTAAGCCAGTTTCCTCATGTGTAAAGTGAGTGAAACAGTGAACAAGAGGGCTCTAGAGCCAGGCTGTGAATGTGCAATGAACAAAGGGACTTAGGAATTGGGGTTTTCATTGACTGGCATGGGGTTAGGTGGATGTGCCCTGTGATTACACAGGTGATGGGCAGGGATTCAACTCCATGAGTCCTCAGGCACGGTGTCAAGCAATTTACATGTAATCCTCAGGATTAAATGTCAATTCTGCAAGGAATTACGACTGTCCCCATGTTACAGATGAGGAAACAGGCTGGGAATGGTTCATTAACTTGCCCAGTTCTGTCTCATTCCACTAGATGACTGCTTTGGGCTCAACATCCTTCTGATCCAAACATCCTTTATAGAGATATTAATTGGAGACCTAACACTGCTTTAGAAGTGATTTTTTTTAAAAAAATCTCATTTTGTCTTATTTTATTGATTTATGGGAGAGTAATTTTCGTCTTTAAATTTTGGGGTTGGGGTCCTTCTGGGGCGATCTTCCAGTTAAGTGTGAGCTGGCACAGGAGTTCAGAGGAACAACTGGTTGCTACACCTCCCTTCCCTCTAAAGAGAGCAAAGGGTCAGGTTCTCTTTGACCACCGGGTAGGTAAGAGTTCCACACTGTCACTCCAACACACAGGTAGGCTTTTTTGGAGCATTTTCTGCCTAGCTATCCCTCTTGCACCCAGCTGCCTCTGCCTGGGCCCCATTGATGCTCTGAGCCCCTGACTCAGGCACAGATATGGGAGGTGAGGTGTGTCTCTCTGGTGACTTTCCAGGTGCTCCCCCCGCCTCACACACACACATGATCAGCATTCTGGACACAGGCACTCTCCATTGCCCCTTACTTACAGAAATGGGCCACAGGATGAAGGGTATGTATCTGTTAATGGCAAAGCTGTACAGTAAGATGAAGAAGCTGAAGATGGATATCTCCATGGTGATGATAAGCTTCAAGATGGGGTGCACGGTGAGTGAGGAGAACAGTATCATTGCCACTATTAGGCAGACCTGCAGTGAGACAGACACCTGAACCAGCAGCAAGGGCCTCTCACCATCTTTCTGAGGACCTGGAGCCTGCTCCTCCTTTCCCCCACCTTTGGTCAAGGCCCCCCACCCAGGGATACCAGTCCAGCTTACCACACTCAGAATCTTGACCTCAGCGTGCCCCAAGAGCCAGAACTCTTTATTGCTGTCTTTTAATTCCCACCGGTAGCGGCGACACCCCTTCCTCGTGCCCACTTCGTGCTTGGGCTGCACTGACTTGGGTTTCTTCGGTGCTGCCGCCTCATCGTCCTCATCCTCTCCGGGTTGGTCTTTGGCGGGTTGGTCTTTGGCTGGAGGTGGAGCTGACACTGGCGCCGGCTTGTCCCCCTTTGCCGCCTGCTTGTCCCCCTTTGCCGGCTTGTCCCCCTTTGCCGGCTTGTCCCCCTTTGCTGGCTTGTCCCCCTTTGCTGCCTTAGGTGCCATGGCTGACTCGGTGTCCTTGGCTTCTCACAGCCGGCCTGTTTTTTCTCTCTCCTGCTGTTTCTGAGTAGGCCAGGCCTACCAGAGAGCCTGGTGTCCACCGAGCGGCTCAAAAGGCCCACTCAGCTAACCGCCAGGACCACCGAATGCCAACTCTCGCCCCCTCTCCACGCGCGCCCGCGTCCGCGCGCAGCTGCCGGATCCGCTTACCCTCCACGTGCGGGCCCCCGATGGGCCCCACCTCCGTTCCCTACCTGCCGTCCCACCTCGGCGCGGAGCTGCCCTCGCGGTCCCAGCCCGGAGTCGCCAGGCGGCCTGAGGTCTGGAAGCTGCAGCTCCGTTGCCAGGTCAGGGGGCTGCGAGCACCGGGTCACAGCCCTGAGCTCCGCGGGCGCAGCGCCATGGGCAGAAAAATACAACGCGACTTTCACAAGGCAACGAGAGGAAGCAGGCGTTCTCAATAAAAGCAGCAGCCCTGATTTTATGGTCACATTTAGGCCGGAATGGGTGACAGCATGCGAGCTCGGGGGTGGGCTCAGAGGGAGCGATTCGACAGAAACTTGCATCTGAGAGGGCGCGGGGCTGGCGTCAGGCGGGCCTCTGCGGGGCGTCGGGGCCAGTTTCAGGGTAGGCATCCCCGGCAGGGGAAACCGTGCTTTCGACTTCGACTCCCAGGAATTTTTTCAAGTTAGTCCTCATCGTCTTGGTGACCACAAACGCATCGATGCCACACACGATTACCGCTGTGAGACACAGGGACTGTCAGATACAAGACCATATGCGGGAAGGAAAGGCGGGGTTATTTTGCAGCTCGGTAACAAGGTCTCGAACCTACCTCCATCCAGGGCGGGCGCTGCGGGCGGCCTCCTGTCCCCTCTGACCCTTCACTACCCCAGTTGGCTGCTGCAGGCCCACTCTGCCTTTCCCAGAAAAAGGGATTTTGGAAACAGGGGATTTTGTTGCCAGTAGTAGCCTCGCCTGATGCCTGAGGCACCAGGAAAGGACCAGGGAAGGGCACTGGCCCTATGCGTTTGCAGGTAGGGGTGAGTCCTGAGAAGGCTTCCCCATAGAAAGACTTTTGGGCTATGTTTGCAAAGGGCAGGAAGGAGTTCCTAAGGGGAGGAGGGTAACCCAGGCACTAGACTAAGGTCTCTAAGGAATCTGGTGTCGTCAGGACCTCCGGGGCTGCTGAGAAGGGGGCAGAGTTGAGGCTGGAGAGGTGCAGGATCTGGGACTCTTATCAAGAGGTCAGGTGTGAGACTCAGAAAACCCACTTGCAGTGGCCATAAGGTGAATGGAAAGTGAACCAGGCTGAAGGCAGGAAGACCAGTGAGGGGTGGGATGTGGGATAGCTGCCATCCAGTAAGAAGAAATGGAGACCTGGGAGTGGGAACCCCTGGCAGACGTGGGGGGTGCCCATGGCACAGATATTCCCCTGTGCACGCCAGGACTCTTGACAGGCTTGGATGTTTCTCTTTATGGTCACTTAATTCCTGGCTGCTTAATGAGCTTTTCCTAGGTATGCTTTGCCCTAGCAAATCTGTGAGCTTCCCCAAAGAGGAAGGGGCTTCATCCCAGCACTGAGCTCAGGTCTGGCACAATCCAATGGGATTGACAGATATTTACTGATTATGGAATGAAGTCAAATAAACTTTTTTTTTCTTCGTTAATTTCTGTTCTCACTGTTTAACTTCTTGAACCAAAGCCCTACCTCCCCACCCCCACCCCCTGAATCTTCCAAGCATTTGATCTGCCATTTCTTGTGTTCTTCCATATGATGAGGGTTTGAGTCCCAGTTTGTCCCAGTCTTGTGACCCACAGCAAGGTATTTAACCTCAGTTCCTGTATCTGTAAAAATGAGATTATAAAGATGAAGTCAGAATGTGCCTAGCCTGGTGCAGGGCATATACTGGGCAATTCGACATGTGGCAGGCTTCTTCCTGCCTTCCTTCTTGAATAGGCTGGATTTCTCACTTTGACAGTGCACTTCCCCCCCTACAATCTCTCTTTTTATCTGTCTTTAAAATACAATTCTGTAGTCCAGAAGATCAAAGTCCTATTTATAGATGAAAAGATCTTGCTTAACATTTCAAAAATAGTGTGTACAATTCTCAAAAGGGGTTTAGCAGACTCTTGCTTTTGTACCTATTCGGAGAATGCATATTAGAATTAAGATTTTCATGAGCTCAGAGTTGGTGCAACTTCGTATCATCTGAAGAAGTCAGTGCAAGAAGGAGAGGGGTGGCAGTGGGAATTCTGCTTGGTTAATGATCTAATGGAGTCTGCTAATTTCCCTTTTCAGTCTTGGAATACTGATCTTAAATGGAGTCATGCAGGCTTCTACCTACCCCTCCAACATAGAATAAATGTCTTCTTTTCTTTTCTTGCATGGCCAAGAAGGCAATGACTGAGAGGAACGCAGCTGTAATGATACTGTTGGTAAGATCCTGTAATACAGAATAGAAAATTCTCAAGTTTATAAAAAAATTAATTTCATAAATATGTAAGCTTGTCAATTACACATCTAAGAATAGATGCCTTTAAAAAACTTTCCCTTTGATTAAGATGAGGAGGAACCCTGAGGCACAATTCTTACATCGTCCAGAGACATGAGTTTATGTGATGTTAAGGTCCTAGATATGACTTTGTCTGCAGAAATGGGTTTATTTTCATTAAAGAATACCATTAGAAAAAAAAGCTGACAACTTTTTCCATCAGGTTTTTCTTAAAGGGCATAGGAAAGAGATCATGAAAAAACCTAGTGGTCAAGGGGCCTAGCCCAAATTGGCCCTCTAAAATGTGATTTTTTGGTATTTTTTAATGTAAATTCTGCAATCTATTCCATACCTTATTTAATATAAAAATAAAATTTTAGCTTAGCACTTTAATTATGGATTTACTTCTCCTCCCAGATCTGGAAATTGAGCCACATTTATTCAATGAGTTTACGTGTCCCGAGAACATATGAACTCATCTGAGGAGCAGGTCTCATACTCTGGAGTGAATATTTTTTGCTCTTTCCTGAAACATGGCTGGAATTGAATGTGCTCTGACATCTGCAGGCTCAATGTGCTCCTTCTTGTGGATTCCAGTTGGATTTCAGTCCTGAGTTCTTTAATTGCTAGCTCAACCTGCTTCTTTATGGGCTGAAATAGTGAGGATGAGTGGGTAGGGGTGCCCTCCTGGGTGAGCAGTGGCTGGGCTTCCTTAGCAAAACAATGGGAGAACGAGTATGCAGTGAGTCAGTGACAGCAGAGTATGGGTAGGGGCAAAATCCTAGAGGATGTAACCACAATATGGGCCAGACACCTAATCTGAATACCTTCAGTCTTTAAGTCTTGATGGTCTGACTTGGTAATGGCAGCCTTTCTGGTGCACTGGTCCAAACACATCAAGGAGCACTGCCATCCAGTGTAAGGATCATGGAGTCATAATGGCCCCAGTGGAGCTCTTTGATGTGCCAAGCATTTCCCAGTTCATCATTTAACCTCATTTAACCCTCACAAAGCAGCATCCAAAGTCGAAATTGTCATCATCCCCAGTTTCCAGAGGACATGGTGGAGGCTTAGAGGCATTTTTCAGTAGCTTAGGATTGAATAATGGGTGGAATCAGAACTCAACTCACTGTTGCCTCCCATCAGGGACACCCAAATAAGGAGGAAATGAACTATTCTCCTAGTCTGCAAGTGCAGCATCCAATCCATCTTTGGCATTTTCTGTGGGATGGGTCTGGAGGGTCAAAATGATACTGCACAAGTTGAGTGTTTTTGTTGATGAACTCTTTTGGCCTGCCAGTTCCTAGGTGGGGCATATTTTATTACCTGTCTGCCAACTTGGCAATGTGTAATATGGGGATAATGACTGAGGTTCATTGGGTCTGAAGATTAAATGGCATAATGACTCTGAAAGCATCTGATAATATGCCTGGCATCTAGTAGGTGGTGGGAGTGCATCAAAATGTAGGTTCATATCTGCTCTCAAAATGTTAACAGATAGTAAACTCTCTGCAAACTCCAGGTGTTCTTCCTGTTGGGGTTGGTGACCAAGGAGTCCTATTGTGGAATGCGACTTGCCTCTAGGAAAGGCACTAATGCCTACTGTTTTGGTGCCCGGAGTTAACACTGGAACAGGGGCACATAGCAGGGCTGGTAGAGGTTGGAAGTAAGTCCCAGCTGGGTTCTGCGGGCTGAGAGGGCAGGCCTGACTGAGGCAGGTACAGTGGTTTGTAGCTTTGCAGGAAGCTTAGCCCGTGAGGACTGTGTAAACCAAGGTAGTCAAGGATGTGAACAAGGACTCTTACAACTGGGAAGCAGAGTGTAAACTTTCAAAAGTCAAATATTCTTTTTTAAAAATTGCTTTCTGTTGGCCAAAACATCTACATAACCAGAGCTCAGTTTCTCTGACCACTAACTGGCTGTGGCCTTAGATCATGAGAATTTGGGTGAAAGCACACCAATAATGATAATAAACCAACCACAGACCAGGCCCAACCAGTCTTTGACTACCTGTCATAATTTTGCTTCCTTGTTGGACTATGGATATTATAGTTTACCGTGGTCCTTACTTACAAAGAAGTGTTCTTCTGAACTGTCCATTGGAGCTAAGGTTCGCCTTGTATCTAACAGTTCTACTGTAGCTAGCTCACATTATTGAGCACTTACTATGTGTCATGTACTGTGCCAGTGTGTTAATATATGATCTCATTTGATTCTCACAACAAACTCTCATTATCCCCAGTTTACAGATGGGTAAGCAACTTGCCCAGGGTTGTTCAGCCAGTAAGTGGCTATGACCTTGGGCAGTCTGACTTGAGTGCCCAAGGGCCTTCTTCCTGCCAACCTCCTCCCTTTTGCCTTAGACACAGACCCTCTTTTTTGCCTCATCTGGACAGAGAGACAGATATGGTTGATGGCTGTATTAAAACTGCAGCTGGGCTTGGCCATGTCCAGTATGACTTCCACTTTCCTCATAAATGCCATCCTTACTTATTATCTTTCCCTTTCCCCCCAAATACCTTATTGACTCAACTAACTTTCTCTGACTAAAATGAGAAATGTGTTTTTTACTTGACAATTTTTACATAAAGCCTCCAAATTATTCTCTGAGATATTCAAAATCACGTAGAATTATAAGTGGGAAACAGTAAGATGCCTTAATGGTGGGTACTTAATATTTTAAAACCAAAACTGAATATTAGAAAAAAAGTTAATCAGGCCAGGCATGGTGGCTCACACCTGTAATCCTAGCACTTTGGGAGGCCGAGGCGGGTGGATCACCTGGGGTCAGGAGTTCGAGACCAGCCTGGCCAACATGGTGAAACCATGTTTCTACCAAAAATGCAAAAAGTAGCCAGGTGTGCCTGTAACCATAGCTACTCGGGAGGCTGGGGCAGGAGAATTGCTTGAACCTGGGAGGTAAAGGTTGCAGTGAGCCGAGATCTTGCCATTGCACTCCAGCCTGGGCAACAGGGCGGGGTGGCTCACGCCTATAATCCTAGCACTTTGGGAGGCCGAGGTGGGGGGATCACAAGGTCAAGAGATTGAGACCATCCTAGCCAACATGGTGAAACCCTGTCTCTACTAAAAATACAAAAACTAGCTGGGTGTGGTGGCACGTGCCTGTAATTCCAGCTACCTGAGAGACTGAGGGAAGAGAATTGCTTGAACCAGGGAGGCAGAGGTTACAGTGAGCCAAGATTGTGCCACTGCACTCCAGCCTGGGCAACAGAGCAAGACTCCGTCTCAAAAAAAAAAAAAAAAAGTTAAAACATTATTAGTTTCACAAAATGTAGTATTTGTAATTGGAATTTACAAACATTGAGTATTCAACTAACTGCAACTTTCACTGGTTTCATTTTTTTGTTTTAGTTTACAATGTTTATTGTATTCCTTTAAAAAAATTGCTTTCTGTTGGCAAAAACATCTGCTTGACCAGAACTCAGTTTCTCTGACCATGCTGGATTATATTCTTTATGATGTAGAAGTGTTTAAAATATGAGCTACTTAGAAGACAATAATTCGAATTCATACTTTCTTAGGTATCCTGGTACCTGACACTAGGCTAGAGTGGGGGAATTGGTAACCCTAAAATGAAGAGGGTGTGTGGGGTGAGGAAAATTGTACTTTTCCTAGCTTTGATGCAGACTCATGCTGATAAAAATGGGTTTAAATTTTAAAAGTTTAAATTAACTTTATTTATGGATTTAGTTCCATTCTCAAGTCTGCAGGTAAAAGTAGTGCTGTGGAAGTTGGCACATTTATTCTGTGAGTTCACATGAACCAAGAACACCAAGAGCCCATCCGAGGAGACCTCATAGGTCCTAACACAGCTTAGGGTTGAGAGTTGGGCCTGTACCATCCCCATGGTGTCAGGGTCCCTGGCACAGCCTTCACAGCTGCAATTCAGAGACTGAGTATGGGTCCCTGAGCCCAGGCTCCATCATCTGTCCAGAGGAGGAGGCCTTGACAAAATATGGTCCCAGAACCCACAGATCTCAGCAGGTCACTTGGTCGCCTGTATCTGCAGCCAGTGCTCTTTGGGGCTTCCCTGCTGAGTCCAAGCCCCGATGTATCAGACTGTATCTGTCTCCATGGTGGAGACTTTTACTTTCACCCCTTTGTCAAACAATAACTAGAATAGGGAAATAAGGAACTCTATCCTTTTATGAGCCTTTAAGTTAGAAATCACCACTTAAAGTCAGCCCTCCTTACCCTAATCCTAGACCTCCTGGGAACCAAGCCTTCTTGCCTTGGAGGGAAGGGCTGAAAGGAAGTGGTGCTGCGTGTTGGGCACCTCTTGTCTGTGGGGAGGCCTCTGAACCTGCACAGAACCTGAAACAGTTCTAGTATGAAATTGACTGTGTGTTCCGGGGCTTTCTGCACTGACCTTATCATAAGGTCCCAAGCGACTCCTGAAGTTTGATTCTAAGCCTGTCTACCTTCTGAAGTGCCCAAGTCAGCACCTCCTAGCACTAATACCCTCACGAAACTTGCACATTTCCTGCTGTGTCAAGGCCTCCCAGTGGTAGCTACTTGCCCCTCTGAAAAATTGTATAGGTACACATCATTTCACAGAATCTGAAAGAGAGGATTTGAAAGGAAGGGACTGGATAGGTGAACACAATTTGAGTCCTGTTTTGATGAGTCTTTTTCAAAAACTTCCAAGTTAATTATATCACTTACCATCTGACCAACTGTGTGCTTGTTCAGTATGTGTCCTGCTAGTGTGAACTGAACATCAGAATAACTGGGCAACCATCTTGGTAACACAGAGTTTCCCCACCATGAAGCTCCTGGGAGCTCACAAGGCATATCCTGTGCTGTGCCAAGTCTGGCCCATGCTCTTGAGGACAGTAGCAGGGAGGCAAGGGCTCCAAATCATACTCAGGGCTCCCATAGCCATCCCCTAAAGAGAAGATACTGTCACTTAAGACAGACAGCAAGAGGGCCTGGCTTTATTGGAGTTGACCAAAGGCTTGTAACCCTACAAGAGCTGGGCTGAACTTTCTGTGACCACTGTGAGAACAGGTCCTCTCACAGGACACTCACAGTTCAAGCTCAGGAGATCCTAGTTCTTACCTCTGTCTGGGATACTTCTTGGGCATTACCCCTGGACCCTAAAGGAAAGTATGACATCTCCTGGCTCTCTCCAGCTTTGTGTGTGGACCCAGCCTGCATGAGTCCTTTCCTCAGAGGGCTCCGGTCCTCCTGACCACAGTTCATGGTGCTGTGGAGCCATCAGTCACCCACCCCCAAGGGCCTGTGTACATCCACCAGGATAACCAATTCACCTTTGGCTCTCTCTCTCTGTCTCTCTCTCTCTCTCTCTCTCTCTATATATATA